CTTTGTCGTGCATTACTTCAATGTGCCAAATTTGATCAAATATGAATCAAAATTTGAAAAGAAAAGGTTATTTGGACAAGGAATGCATTTGCAAACGATGTTTTTTCTCAGACAGTGTGGAAGAGTGGCGCAAAGAGTACCAATGTACTATTAGGATTGCATGGATTCTCCTCCCTTTTCTTCCCCTCCTCCTCTCCCTGTATCTTGTGCGCAAACTGCCGAATAATTATAGATTGTTTAGTAGATAAATCAACTTTTGTTAAATGAATAAGGGCGCAAACGGACAATATAATAGATCTTGTACAAAAGAATCTATCAATGCAGCTTTTGTCACTTTGATTGAGTCCTTCCAATAGATTAACATAATGTGAGATGCCGTTGGCGCTGGGTTGGAAGTTCTGGAATGGTCATAGCATTACAGGCCCTACTTGCTTTCATTCTTAGGGCAAATATCATCATGTTCCCTTTTCAAGCAAGTCAAAGTGTTTCAGATGGGAAAATGTTGGATTGATCCAAACGGATCAACTGAACTTGAAGACTTTAGCAGGCTTCAAAACATTTCGTGTCAGCCTTGTCTAAGCCTGATACTAAAGTCAATCTTACAATTGCAGTACTTCTGCAAAATGTGCTCCAAATAACGAAGGGAAAGAAAATTGAGGAAGATTCTGCATATTTTATCACATGTTATCAACAAATTTAAAAGAGATTTACAGTACACTTCTTAAGCCGACATAGTTTAACTTCTGTGCAATAAGTAAATTTCGGATCGCACGAGATCTAATAAAAGAGATTAATAATAAAACGTTTCTCAAAAAGCATAATCTGCTGAAATTACTCCAGAAGAATTCTTTGACCATATTGTTTGGATAATGATAATAACACTACTTGTTGTATCGATCTTTTCAGTACTTTGGTAGTGTGCCAGAGTATGTGGTTCAAAGTAACTTACGTCTAACTTGAGATAGGACTGGCGGAAAAGGTTAATCCGTATTTGTTATCATAAATCTCTAGATGTCTCATTTTACGACAAATTCTACTATTTTCATTAATTATAATTTCCAATTTTTCAAAGCATTATTACTAAGTACATTATTTCAGTATAAAGAGACCCTTAAAGTCATTTTGTTTCTTTTGAACAACATCTTCTCGACTTTCACTAATGTGGCGATAAATCGATTTTCGCAGTTTCTAAATGAAATGAACATATTCCAAACCTGATCAAAGTTCTCCACGTCCTCAAAAAGTTTCTAGAAAAAAAAAATGAAAATCAGTTGAGGAATTCATCAATGATACCTATAAAAATGTAAGCTCATTATATTTTAACTTCATTTTACTCGATATATGTCATATCATCTGGATCGAGCTCCTGAATAATCAGACATGATTTCTCTTTTCTCGCGAAAAAATATTTCTTTCTTCACAACATCTAGGATAACTTTCCACAGTTAACAATTTTCTATCATTTCATTTTTGCTTACCATTCTTTGTTGTACAAAAATGATATTTCCTTTCTTTACTTTTCTCAACTCCTTTTCCGCCACTGATAAGCATTTGATTAGAATAAGTTCTATTGATTTACTGATCATTACTGAGAAAAACAAATTTGATAAAAGACTGCGACGGTTGTTTAAAATAAGTATTCTTTTCCTTGTTTTACAATGTCTGCCATTTAATTAGCCAATGGAGTAGTGTTTACCAATCAAAGTTTTATTGCCAAAAACTACATACTGATTCCAATTGTAACAAATAGAACCATCCTATACAATTCTTCTCTCATCTAAACGACAGTTTCCTTTTTTCTCTTAAAAAAATCTTATAAGACTTTTCATCTCTCAAATCCAACTGGCAATTTTACCAAAGAGTTCTATCCAAAGGTCTTATAGATGAATCTAAAACTATATCAATGGAGTGTGAAATCTGGAAAAGATTAAATTTCTGCTGCTGCCTTTTACACTTTTAACTATTCATTCCATTTCCCAACTTATTGCTGTAGTCTTTTCCAATTGCGGTCAAGGACGATATAGCAGGAGTGGAAGAATAGTTAAGTAAAGCAAATCAGATTCCCACATATTGCATGAGAAATAATAAATGATGCCGACCACTGATTGGTTCCATTTGATTGTGATAAAAATGAACCTTTAGTTATAAATGACTCTTTCAGTCGTTAAATTGTATTTTATGCGGGAAGGTCATTTTTCGGATCAAGGAATGAGATGAACATGGAGTAATTGATTAAGATGTTAAACAAGTAATACTTAACCAGCTTCTTTAGTAGAGCAATAATAAGCCAACCATTATTCCCATTCTCCTTATCTCCTTTCACTTTTCTGCTTCCCTCTTTACTGCAACATGTTCAAAAAATGTTTGATGTCAGCAGTTCAAGTTATCCAAATACCAATTACTAAATTTTCTGAAATTCTATTACCTTGTCGATGCATGGCTGGCATTAATGATAAGCATAACTGGAATCGAAACATGCATGACTAAATGATCCAATTTCTGTTAAAATATACAGAAAGCAAATAAGACAGAAATGAACCGGAAACAGCGCTTCCGGCTATGATGTCAACATATTCAGTAATACGGTCATGACTGAAGCACTTTCACTACTGGAAGGAAATTAATACTGCTCACAACTTATATTCCTCGTTTTGTTACTTTTCCATACAAGAGAGCTTGATGAGCTTGATTTGCACCCCTAAAAAAAACTAAATGAAATTTATCTCACTTTGAGATAAAAGCTACTCAATTTGAAAATTTTAATTCATGTTAGCTGAAAAAAGTGAAACCAATAACTAGGTTAATTAATTACCAAGAAACATGACTTATTGCAAAAAAGCCTTTAAACAACATTTCCGCACAGCACTTCAAGCAGTAAGTTAATTGATAAATTGATTACTTGAAAGTTCCAGAATTTTGGCAAAAAAAGTAAAGATACGAGCTTTCAATCTGTGTGATAAATGAAAACTAATTCTTACGATTTCCTCATGAATTCCACTCATGAAATAATAAATTAGATTGATAAATGGGAAGAATCGGATAGTTGAACAAAAAACTATTTTGATCATATCAGTGGAAAACAAGTGATCAGTTTAATGAGGAATGAAGTCTATGTTCTGGGTGATGGAGCAAAGATCAAGAAATGGATTCAAGCATTCGCGTAAAGGAATGGAACTGCCGTTCGATCATGAAATAGAATGATCTATTAGTGATTGGAGTCACTAAGCGTAAACGCAAATCGAAAAGGATGCAGTCATTCATGGCTGGTTGTTGGGTGAAGGACTCTGGAAATGACCTTGTTGCAAGAGCATGGAGAACTTCATCGTCATTCATATTTGTACTACATCCTAAAAATGACCTCATCATATTATGATCGAGGTCTCATTCGATACTGGGTAGTATAATTTTAATCTCGACTCTCGATGATCATACAATGGGAGTTACTCGTCTCATTAATTTCTGACTTTTAAACTTTAATCAATTTTCAGCTACTCAATTATTCAAGCAATATTCCCCGTAAACTCGCTTATTACTTCTGTTTATCAATTCTTATCAGTTCATTCCGCCAACTTGTATTTACAAGCCAAGAACAAAGACCCTTATTTTTCAGAACCATTTCCTAAGCACAATATGCTGAAATTCTTCACGACTTTTCAACTTCAGAATGTAATTCTGCTAATCTACAGTACTTTTAGTGACATTTAAATGGTAGGTTTAGAATTTTTAAAAGTGGGAAAGAAAAGAATATTAATCTCTGATGAATGTCATAGTTGTATGATAAAAGATGTTCCGCTCATCACAAGGTTTGTCGATAATACACCAATATCAGCGAAAATGTTATCGAGGTCGATGCTATGGTTAACCTAATTTTGAAACACCTCTCTTCTCTTTCATGCGCAAGGTTAGTCGTCAAGTGGTATATCATGTAATGCATTTTAGACAGAGCAAAGTATAGCACTCCCGTCATTACCAGGAAAAAATCTGACAATCGGAACAGTTCATAGATTTTCCAAGCAAACTTCGGAGATCCATGTCAGCAGACATCCGTCCCGTTCTTACTGGATACTCCGACGATCCTATCTGAATATTTTTCTTTCTGACAGAATTCAACCATTAAATGATTTCAACTCCAATCTGATATGGTTCAATTCACAAGTTTATCAAGTCTGTTGGTGGATTTTCGAGGAAAATTTGATTGAATTTAAGTGAATTTAACTTTAGTTCAAATTGAAAAGTATCAACTTCGAATTATTTCCTAAAATAAGAATTGCAAATTGGAAGTTCTGAACAAATCAAACATGCTGCTCCCTTCATTTAAGCAGTAATCCAAACTGGAAGATAGCAGTCATCTACTGGTCATCAAATCAGCAAATGCAATAAATGGGAGCAATCAGATGCAGCAGAAGTATGCAATTGAAGGTACGTGTGATCGTATGAACAAATTGGAAGAAATAACCACTGCATCTACTCAATCAATAGCACCTGTAAAATCCCGGACTGAAAGGACACATCAAAGTCTTGTGCCATCGACTGTGAGCCTTTTTCCGGATTAATCTTTACCCAATCTCAAATCATTCATATCTTCTCCTTTACGATGGAAAGCAAGGATCCTTAGCTTCCTTAATATTTTCGTTTTCTATCCGCTTATTGTGACAGTGACACTTTACAATATCTCAGTCACATCGAATCCAACTACTCCTTTGCAACAAAGGATTTACCATCTCATAATTCGGGAAATTTAATTGAATTCGAAAAGACTGACAGAGTGTAAAGTATGCAGACAGCGAGGAGGAGTAGAAATAGTTGAGGAAGAAAGTGGCTGTCTCAAAGGGATTTTTTTGTATTAGAAGTGGGTGAGAGGAGGGCTGGGATTACAGATTTCCGCTGATATATCGAGTGTGGTCGGTAATACCGGGACCGGTAAGTCACATATTTCTCAACCGTAATGTATTCCTTCTCAACTTGTTTGAATATGTTTTGAAAAATTGCTTCCATTGAATTTCAGGTTTCCTCGAATGCAATGGGTTTGATGCCGGAGAGTTACATCGATATTAAACCGGATCCATCGTTGCTTGATGCAAATTTTGATGGGTACAAGCTCTCACTTGATCCTTTTCCTGTTTACAGTTGTCCCTTAGAAGTGCCAGGTGTGTTCCTTCCCTATCTCGTTACACTTGCTTGTTTATATTTGTTAAATGCTTTTTTTTAAAATGCTCTAATTTTTTTCTTTCTTTATGGTAATGCTAGCGGATGCTTCCTCCTTATGTCTTTGTCCGAATACCATTTGTTTACGTTTTAACACCTAACAGTAACTATTAATTGTCTGATATAAGGGATCTTTTTATAAAAGAACTCCGAGATCAACTTCGAATTCAAGAAATCTTCGAAATAGTAGTGATTACGATAAGTTGCATCATCCGTAAAGACCGAAGCAGTCCAGTAATATTTCAATCACTAATGAAAGGATTGACGAATTGATGTACCAAAGAATGTTTTTAGTGCGGGAGTTGCAAACAAGCAATATTCAATATGGATTTGAGCATATCAAACTGTATAACGATATGAATTATCTAACATACGATCTCCATGCATCCGATTCTGGATGCAAACGATTCATCACTATTTTGCAGAACTTTCACTTGTGCTCAATTAGTTTTGATGTTCAGGTAATTAAATTACTGTTACATATTTCTTGGTCTACTTTAATTTCATGGTAATTTTTATTAAAATTTTCGCTTGCCAGGTCCATTTTTATATTTAATTAAATCTGGATAATTTTGATGTCCTATTACATAGCAATTATCGCCATATATGCATATATATATATATATATATATATATATATATACATATATATGATATTATGATTTTTAAATAGTGGATAACATTGTTCGTCTATACATTAAGTTTGATATTTGTAAACAGATGAATATATTAGCAGTTGCTGAGGCATTTTCCTTCATAATTATCTATACGCCTTCTAGATTCAATGATAAACGGTAAAAGACATTTTTCTTTTTTCAAAGAGTTCCAAGATTTCACGAAAATCTTCATTCGCAAATCGGAAATAAGAGTTCAAACTATTTGTCTCATTTCGTTTGTAAGCCTTCTCGAAAAGAAATTCATCATGGTAATGCAAGCGCCTTTCGTTGACTAATTGTTAGAATTTTCCAGACAAGAAAATTCTCAGTTAGCAAAAACCATACAGTTATCGCTGTACCACTTGGTGAAAAAGAAATAGAAGATCGATATCCAGCCGCGGTATCTTTTCCAGATGCTGGTCATGCTTTCGTATCTAATGGCTTCGGTCGTCTCACAATGTACATTACGGGTGACCGGCGCAATGCAGCAGCTTGGGAGGTTGTCGCAACCATTTTCGTTCCTTTTTTTCTAATGTAAATTTTCAAAAGGATAAAATTATGAATAGGTCATACCAGCTTTTTTTTTATTGATTTGCTATTCTTTATTTTGACTTTAAAGTAGGTAAATGAATTTGATTTAGGAATGTCTAAGTGTCGAGCCGCTTATTGATGATGGTAAAATAAGTTCATTTATAATTATTGAAAGCCGTTATATGGAGAACAAGTTTGACGTATTGTTACGATCTGTTGTACCTAGTAAAAGGTCTTCAAATCAAGGGAATTTTTTAAGCAAAGTAATCTGGTTGACTGTTGCCAGCGGTCAGTTTTTTTTGTTGGCTTGATTGAGTTTAAGAATTATTGGTTATCGTTAAAAGATTGGCATGAATCGTTAAAAGACTGGCATAATTTGAACTGAGAAACTTCATTTATGTTTTTGTGCGTTGTAGCATGCGTAGCACTGTAAGATTTTTTTTTCTCATAATACGATACTTAGGATGCAGGAAAGAAGCCCTTATTATTGAAGAGAACTTATATCGATAAAGTTCTCATATTTTACATCTGTGAATCCATCAACCATATTCGTTTTTCTTTAGAAAACGGAAGAATGGCTGTAACTGAAATTCGCAGCATCATTTGTACTGGTCATACTGAAATGGTAACATTCGACCAATTACCTGAAGGCTTAATCGTTATTAGCACTGGTGATCTAAGTTTTTGTGGAAGTGGAATAAGTACATCAGATGCTGCGAGTCAGGAAATGAACAAAGAATGCGGTAAAAGTTTTTCGAGAGATTTTTCATAGGACTGGATTTCAAACGAGTTCAATTAATTTTGTAAAATTTCTAACAAGTTGGTACTTCCAGGTGTTGAAAGTACAAAGCTAGCAAAGAAGAGATACGCCTGGTCTCAAACAGGAGGAGATGTGACAGCAGTGTTCACTTGTGATGAGACAATTTCAAAAAAAGATGTTTCGTTATCCCTGAGTGCTACATCTGTTCATTTGTCAGTGAAGGGTATAATACTTGTCGGTGGAATCCTTGGTGGTTCAGTTGACCCAACATCATCAACTTATACTATCGATAATAATAAGTACGTTACTTATCGTTTGTCACGATACCAATGCTATTAGTTTAATTACTGTACCTGACAAATCCAATTATATCACTTGTTGTTTACCGTTCACTTATGATATGCCAATTTATTAAATTAATTTTTTACTGATGGGAATGTTTCTTTTTTATTTTTTCATAATATATTCATAATATTGATATGTTTTTTTTTCGTTCTTTTCATAAAAAACTTACAAGATTTTTTTGCTTGAGATTAGAGCTGTTTCTGGCTAAAAGTGAAGGAGGTTTAACTCATTGGTCGGAATTGGTGTTAAGTGACGATCAAGGCGTTTATGAAATTGATTCCGAATCCTTGAGTATTGCTTCAGGGATGCTGGAGCGCTTCACGTCTGAATCACAGGTTTGAAGAACATTAATACATATTTCGTGGTATCAAATTTTCTATTTGACTAATTTCGTATTTCTTTTTCTAAATCTTCTTAAAGTTCGAATGCGTCATTTAGACTGTAGGTAATTGTGGAGTTGATCGAAATTTTAACACCGAACAAATGGAAGATTGTGACATCAGTGTGGATGACATTTGTAAAATTCGTTGGTTGAATTGTGCTTCGCAAAAATTAAATCATGAGGTGATCATCATTATCCTTTAGCTAAGATCTAAGGTGTTTAATTTTTTATGGTTCTTGTCTTGTAAAGTTACTTGAGAACTTGAAGAAAAAATCCAGTAGAAGCTATTGGTTTTTTTTTTTTTTTTTTGAATGTCAGCCTTCTATTTGCAAATAAAGATGGTTACCACTAATTGATAATGAAACAGGAAATAAATAATTGAGTTTAAAACAAAAATTAAGTTTTAAACCACCACTGTACTTTATTTTTCAAATAACATCCATAATATGTTTATAGAGCGATATAACCACACACAGTGTCTTGTTTTCTGTATGTTTGGATTTTGGACCACGTTTTCTTTGTATCCGTATGGATGTTGATGGCATTTTGTGGAAATTCACGGAAGAGAGCAAGAAAGTTCAACATCACGCAACATTCAATGCATTCGGATATGTTCAGGTTTACATGGAATTTTAACACTATTGTAAAAATTTGTTAAATTACAATTTTTGTGGAAAGCCACAAAAGTTTGCTGTTGTAATAACACACAGTAAAATATTATTTTCAGAAGAATTTACGGTCTGCATAAACTTGCTATCTGAGGGTCGAACCTTTTTGTTGCTGCAAGTGATATGTTGAAAGTTGGAGATATTGAGATTAAAATTGATTCCTCTAATACTCAAAAAATGGAATGCCTTGAAATATTAGTTTATATTGTATATATTTCAACAACTTTTATTTCGGTGAGACTAAATAAACCGGCTTGTTGTATTGTAGATTCGAAGTATTTTATAGGCATCTAAAACACAGAGGAAATTCAGCACTTGTCCAACGGATTGTTCTTATGCCGTTATTATTGAAGCAAAACGACACGCATTTGTTTATTGGCAGCCAACCGCAGTAACTTCAGGTGTTTATATCTATGTTTCCTTATGTGAACAAAGCAAATGTTTAGGCACTTGAGATTCAGTTCGTTTTAGATTTGCGGAATCGGAAAACAGGCCGTCGAGTTGCTGGAATTGCTAAGCAGCAGCTGATATCTTTATCTAAACCGTCGGAATCCTGCGATGCTAATGCTGTCACAGAGAATATTGTTGGCGTTCATGCTGATAATGAATTTCTTTTTATTTTAACCACCACCGATATTTTTGCTGTGCTTTTGAAAGATCCTTCTGTGCTATAAGTCTCTCATTGTATAAGCAGAAGCTGTTAAGTTTTGATAATTTATCGGGAGTCTCTATGGGAATAATTAATTGTCGGAAGTCTATAGGAATAATTAATTACCTATAGGAATAATTAACTACATTATTGCAATAATAACAGTATTTGATATAGCCATTTTGATAATGTATGTGATGAGTTCCTGTAATTTTGCAACTTTCTATCTTTGAACTAATGGGAAAATCAATATAAGTTTCAATGGTATAGTGACTTTTGTTCTACCTACTGTTTGCAAATAAATTTTGGATAAGATACTTCTCCTAGCGTTACCTAAAAGTTATACTACTGTTGCCGCCGAAATTATATGAAAAGTAGTAAATGCAGATTTTGTATTATTATCATTCCTTAACGGACATCAATGCCATGTCAAAATATGGTAAAAACCTCATTGTGGAATTTCTATTCCTTTGTTTTTAATTTAATCTCTCCGGTATTGGTTTAATTGAATGACCGTGTCGTTGCAGATTTCGG